GAGGCAATTGGCCCATGGCCTCGCCACAGCAAGACCTCGGCTACACATGCCACCAAATGTAGAAAAATAATATTATAAATGATGCAATTGTATATTTATGTTCAAATGAAACATCAAATATATCCCAAAACAAAAAGACAAGAAGACAAATGAAACACAAGTCCATAGCATAGGAAATACAAATAAAAAGTTTATGAAAATCGGACCACGGTCACAGTTGTTCAACAAGTGATTCAATCGTTTGGACCGGTATTTAATTGATTAATATTTTTAAACATATATAATATTTTATATTATAAAATTTATCTATAAAACGTTGTTCATTAGCCTATTTAAAACATTCAAATGCTTAAACTAACTAATAATAACTTATATATATTTATTGTATTTAAATATGTGCTTTTTATTGATATTAAGAATAAAATGTATTAAAATTTATTTTTTCTTTAATAAGAACAGGGATGGTAAAGATTCGCTGACAATGAATCCGTCAACTGACCAGTGGCCAGTCCGGTCCGGTTTTCTAAACCATGCAAATACAACATAAAGTTTGACACACACATAGTTAAACCCTAGTTTTTTGTATGTCAAAAATGCTATTCGACGACTAGCCCGTTCCTTTCTTTTAATTTCATGTCTTCTCTTTTCACGCTGCTAAAAACGTGCTGGTTATGATTTTTGTTTTTTTACTAAAACAAAGAGGCGTTGAGGCGCGCCTCGTCACGCAAAAATGCGAGCCGAGGCTGCCTAAGGCGGGCCCCAGGGTCGCCTCAAGCAGTGGCGAGGCGGTTAACCCCTCGCCTCATGGCGTAGCCATTTTAAACCATTTTAATATTCAACGGGAATTTTACAATTCAAATGTATACTTATCATTAACTTTTGGAAATCTAAAAATTAATTATTTGGAATTTTTTGTTTTTATATTTTCTTTTAATAACAAAATCGAACATCATTTAATGCTCCCATCAAAATTGTGTGTTTTCAATTCAAATTCAAAAATTGCGTTGTTAGTGTTTTTTAAAAATTTTGGACCATTTCTTCCAATCATTTTGGACGGATTTGCCAACCATTCTATAAAGTAAGGATTTTGTTGAACTTAAAATTTCAAAGTAAATCGATTTTCAAAATCTTTTGTATGTCAAATTGTATGCATTTCAAAAATTCAAAACAACAATACACACGTTTTCTAGATATAAATATTTATAAAATTTTTGTACCAATTTTTCCCATCATTTTGGACAGATTTTCCAACCGTTCCTTAAATTAAAGGGTTTTGTTCACTTAAACTTTCAAATATCGACTTCAACATATGGTGTATATCAAATTGCATGCATTTCAAAATTTAAAAATACCGATCCACACGTGTTTTAGATATAAACTTCCTAAAATGAAGGATTATGTTCAATTTGATATGTATTTTATAAATCACCACCTTTTCAAAATTTTGACTTATTTTGTTTATTTTTGTGATTTCGATTTTGTAATTACTAATATTATATATAATTTTTTTACACATTCTGTAGATTAAATTATATATATATATATATATGTTGAATTTAAATATCCTTAGACATGTTTTGGTTGCAAATAGTTTAGAAAAATTTTAGGCGAATTCAAATTTTTTAAGAATAATATATAATATGTTATATAATATTTTAGGTGTTTTAATATTTTAAAAATACATGTTTTATGTTATCTTGATTGAGTTTGTCTGATCTAAACGAGGCTCCCCTACACATCCAACTACGAATAAAGCTCTTTCATTGAGTGCGCGATCATGCCCACTAAGGGTTGTTGAGCTCTTCAATGGAAAGGGGGGAATCGCCCTTTCACAGCCGCTCCTATACAGCTCTTAAGCCGACAAGAAAGACACCAAGATAATTTTAGATTGTAAATTATATCACATGTTAACCCAACTTCTTTAATTCATAATTATTATTTAATATTATTACTCACTCATTAATTTATAATTATTATTTAATATAGTTTACCCGTGCATCGCACGGGCTATACACTAGTATATCTTCAAAAAAGCATATGTTATATTTTTTTAGAAAATATTATTTGAATATGTACGATAAAATTGCAAAATAAAAAATTGAAAATCATTTATGAAAATTTGATTATGATATTTAGTTACAATAGAATCTTATTTATCAACATGAATAACAAATCACAAATCACAGTGATTTGTTATTCATTTGGTACCCAACTATATACAAAAATATTTTTTTATCGTATCTTACAAAAATCATTTAATCAAGAAGATTAGTTTAGAATCATTTGATTTATCACTAACTCAATCTATTCAGTTTTTAAATTTGTAAACGCAATTTTCCACAATATCAGAATAAATTGAACTATTTATTTTTCTTTATCCTTAATAACAAATAATGCGTTCTCCTGCTTTGTTGGGCATCTAATAGATCGAAATATACCTGATAACATAGCAAAATATAAGTACAAAATAGAATTGACATCTCAACATTAATAACAATCGTCTGATTTTCTATTCATTTGGTAACGAGTCATGTACCAAAATCATTATTCAAGAAGTTCAAAAATATAATTTGATTTTATCAATAGTTGTACCCAACTAGTTTTTTAAAAATTTATATTGTGATTCACAACATCATAACAAATCTCATATAAGGTATGAGTAAAGAGAGAGAGAGAGAGAGAGGTTACAAATATTAAATTATTATGAACTCCAAATAACAACTATTTTATAACGACTGAAATAAACATAAAAATCATATATTAAATTATTATATACCATAAAATAAAAAAAATAATAATAATATTTAAAACTATTTTTATATTAACCAACATTCTTTCATTGGTTTTAAGTGACTTACAAATATTATTTTTATTTTAGTATGTAAAGATATCGAGAAAATTTATCTACCACTGAAAATAAAAATACTTAATAAAAGAATAATTATTTAATTAGTGTCATTCCTTTTAATTTTTGGACTAAAGTAGATTGGATTAAGATTGCTGAATTATTATGTACTATCTGGATGTTAATTTGCGGTTTACTTATTCTGGGTTGCATTACTAAAACTAAACACGCGACATAAAACTAATTAGAGTAGGTCGGGAAAACCCACACGAAACCTATCGCGAAAAATGGGGAGTCTTGCGAATAAGGGGCTCAAACATCCTAGTGTTTTCACCATTTCTGAAATGTGAAAATATTCAACCACCTAAATAACGGAGGTATTCGATTCTCTTTTCCATGTGAGGGGTCATGTTTCTGGAGAACTGAACCACCAATGACTCACCTCCCCTTTGCGAGGCCTGTAGTATCAAAGGTAAAAAATTCTATCGAAAGTTCCTTCAAAAATACCCTTTTCCTAGTCTCATGATGTTACAATAGTAGGATTCCTCTTATTATTACTACTATTTTGTTTTGGGTCATTGCCTAGTTTTTGCTTCTGGTACATTATTTCTTATGTTGCAGGGGTATGTACAAATCAATTGCCTCCTTTTGGTGGGATAAGAATGATAGGGGATTTGATAGAATACGTTGGGTTTTAGGAATCTAAATGACTTCAATGAGGGGCCTTCTTGTATAACAACTTTGGAGGATACTTACTCAACTTAACCTTATAATGAGTAGAGTGTTAAAGGATAGATACTTTGATAAGGAAAAAATCTTAGAATTTATAAAGAAAAAAAAAAAACTATGACTCTTTGGATGTGGAACAAGATGGCTGGGGCCTAGAGACTCTTTGAAATTGGGAGCTAGATTCTAAGTAGGTGATGGAAAGTTAATTTAAATTTGGGACTCTCATTGGATTCCAAACAAACCTTGTTTCAAACAAGTTGTCATTTTGGAGGGATAGTGTCAGATTGGATAAATGAGTTAAATGAGTTACTTAAACCAGGGGGACAAATATCTGATTCTTCAACCATATGATGTTGAGTTTATTCTTTTTGGCTAAGAAGATAAATTGGTGTGAGCACTTCAGCCATAATACCTATGAAGCTGTTATTTCACATTACAAAGTCGGTCAGTCTCGGGTTGGGTTGGTTCAAGCAGTGAGAGAGTGCGTTTGGTGTTTTTTCCTTAGTTACCTTGTTGTGTTCTGTTGTATTCAGATTTGTTTGTTACTTTGTTCAATTACACGGTACTATGTCCCCCTCCCAACAAAAAAAAACGAGGCTTAGTTTTTGTTCTACAACATATGAGGACGGCGGAAGGAAAGCACTGATTTCAGATTGATCAGTATAATAAAATTAAAACAACTAAAACAACTGGGAAAAACAAACCTTACCGGCAGCCTTACCCGAATCTCTTTAATTTTATTGGTTGTCACATGATTCGTGCTTGCTGATGGCGTCCGAGCCACTAAAAAAGTCCGCGAAATTACGCTTAAGGACGTTGAGGACTTTTGTGATGATTTAGAGAGAGTGCTCGACTTCAGATGAACTAGTGGATTGCATCGCCACATACCGAAACATATTTATCACTCCCGGACAAAGATAAGCATTCAACTCCATCAAACTGATTGCTTATTGTTGGAATCGGTACGGGCCGCACATACGGCTTTCAAAGGCACAGTATTGCCGATTGTGGGCAATATTCTTTAAGATACTTATGACACTAGATAATCTCATCCTTGTAAGAGTAAAAACAAATCACATTTATTTATTTATTTATATCCAACTTATATGTTGTAGGGTTGAGATTGCAACTGAATGTAGGCATGAATATTAGGACATTTCGAAGCTTCTACTTCAAGGAGATTGCTGCAATCTCTTTGAAGTAGAAGCTTTGGAATGTCCTAATATTCATGCCTACATTCAATTGCAATCTCAACCCTGCAACATATAAGTTCGATATAAATAAATAAATAAGTGTGAATTGTTTTTAATCTTACAAAGATGAATAGTTAGTGCCGTAAGTATCTTAAAGATTGTTGTCGACAACCGACAATATTGTGCCTTTGAAAGCCGTGTGTGTGGTTCGTGTCGCTTCCAGCAGTAAGCCATCAGTTTGACGGAGTTGAATGCTTCGCTTTGTCTCGGAGTGACAAATATGTTTCAGTATGTGGCGATGCAATCCAATAGTTCATCTGGAGTCAAGCTTCCTCTCTCTAAATCATTACAAAATCATTACAGAAGTTCTCAACGTTCTTAGGCATAATTTCACGGGCTTTTTTAGTGGCTCGGACGCAATCAACACGGATCCCATGACAACCAGTAAGATTAAAGAGATTCGGGTCAGGCTACCGGTAAGGTTTGTTTTTACCTGTTGTTGTTTGTTGTTTTTTTATTATACTGATCAATCTGAAATCGGTGTTTTCCTACCGCCGTCCTCGTATGCTGTAGAACAAAAACTAAGCCTCTTTTTTTTTGTGTGGGGACATAGCACCCTGTAACCAACAAATTTGAATACAAGAAACTCCCAGAACACAACAAGGCAATCAAGAAAAAAACACCATCAGGAGTGCACTCTCCCTGCTTGAATCAGACTGACCGACTTTGTAATTTGAAATAATAGCTTCGTAGGTCGACTTGACAGAAAACATCCCATCCCATTATGGCTGAAGTGCCACATCAATTTATCTTCTTACCCAATATTGCCTTTTGTCAGCAAAAATCTTTAAAACTCTTTTGACAATTGACAAAACAATTGATCCGTGTAGATTAAAAACATATTTATTGTTTGTTTTTTTCTTCTTTTTATCGAACTTATGTAGTACTTTTTTATTGCAGGGTTGAGATTGCGACTAAATGAAGGTATGGAAACTGGACGTTCAAAAGCTTTTACTTTTAACATTCCCAATTTCCATACCTTCATTTAGTCGCAATCCCAACCTTTTAACAAAAAAATAACACATAAGTTCGATAAAAAGAAAAAAAAAACAATACATGTGTTTTTAATATTACACGAATCAATTGTTTTGTCAATCGCCAAAAGAGTTTTAAAGGTTTTTGCTGACAAACGACAATATTCTCCCTTGGAAAGCCTTGTCTGCGGACCATGACGTTTCCAAACGTTTCCAAGTGTAAGTCATAAGTTTGACCCAGTTAAATAGTCAAATGCTCAGTTTCATTAACACATTTGGAGTGAAACCCTCTTCTCGAGATCATCACAAAAGTCCTCAACGTCATGAGGCGTATTGACTCCGACATTTAAATTGGCTCGGAAGCCCTCAACTTGGAGCCCACGACAACCAGTGAAATTAAGAAGTTTCGGGTCATACTCACGGTAAGGTTTGCTACCTTGCCCTGTACGTTTATTTTCTCGATCAACACGATATCTGTCCTTTTCAAAGCGTATAAATGGGTTATCATGAATCACTCACTAACAGCCTGAACTCTACAATGGGTTAACAAAGATTCTGTTTAAGTTACTAATGGTTACCAACAGTCGATGGGTATATTAAAGATGGTTTCGGTTGGCAAACAACGTCGACTTATTTCATCATTGTTTGGTGTATAGGTATGGCCACACTTAATTTTCTTTATACTCACACCCTCACTGTTGCTGCTATTTATTTTTCTTCTCTCTTAATTCTTCAGAAAACACTAATAATTTCAGCCCAGCTCTTGGATGCACAACTGAATTTTAGTGTTAGCGTCTCTTGCTCAAGGCCATCTGAGGTGACTTTCAGTTTTATTTTTATGTTTGAGTTTTATTTTTTTCTACGTCATTGGCACCTCCACTGTTTTAGAATACATCAACATGTATTATTCAGGTTTGTCTGGAGTTCGTCCCAAAGGACTACCATTTGGAAAGCTCTGCACCAATTACAAACAATTACAAAGTCTGATATAATTAGAACGGTGCCAGTCTGCAAGGTACAAGCAAACAATTATGTAAAAGTATGGATTTAGTTTTGTTCTTGAAATGAAGGGTTGACAACATTTTTCTTGTACTTTTATTGTTTTCTATCATGTTTGATGCTCATCTGCTGATGTGGCAAACTCTACTGGAATCATTCAAGACTCCATTTGACTAGGTGAAGCTGGAAGATGGGGTCAGTTATGACACAAAGACAGATATTGCTAGCCAAACTCATTGTCCCGAGGTATTAGTGTGTAGGCAACAATATATCAACATAAGGCATTAGATATTAACGCGATCCTCTACACTTCCAAATCTATATTTTGTAGTGAAAAGAATATAATTCAAATTGTTTAGGTGGTGATCCTCTACACTTACAAATTATTTTAATTGACCTGTGATGTTTTTTCACCACTTTGGTTTGTATTAATTGGAGACTTGCGTTTTGGAATGTTTCTTTATTAATGACAGCACTTTGATTTTTTTTCCAGTATATTAACTTCTTAGCACAAAACATAGTTACTTGAATTTTGTAAGGGCTATATTATTTACCGCCCCTCATTTTACTAGTCACCGCTCTCCTTGGACGATTTTGCCCTTCTCATTTTTTCTAAACATCTGATAGGAAAGTGTACGGTGAAATGTCGTCAAATTCGGAGGTACGAAAAAATTTGTGTCCGGCCGCCGGAACCGGACGGCATTTAGCCCGTCCGGCCGCCGGAACCAGACGGTTTTTAAGCTGTTCGGCCGGCCGGTCCGGACGAGCTAAAAGCCGTCCGAAAAGTTCGGCAGGTCGGACGGGCCATGTCCGAACTGGCCGGCCGGACGGCTTGGCCGGTCGGAACCGGTCCGTCCGGTTCGGTCGGCCGGACAATTTTTTTTTTTTTTAAATTATTATGTTATATATTTGAAATAATTATGTTATAAATTGGACTATATTATTATGTTATAAATTATTATGTTACATTTTAGACTTGATTATGCTATAAATTGGACGTTTATCGTGTTATGAGTTACAAATTATTATGTTACATGTTGATTATAATATAAATTGGACGTTAGATATTATCGTGTAACGAGTTAGAAATTATTATATTACATGTTAGTCTTGGTTATGTTGTAAATTGACGTTAGATAGTATCGTGTTAGGAGTTACAAATTATTATGTTACATGTTGATTATAATATAAATTGAACGTTAGATATTATCGTGTTACGAGTTAGAAATTAGTATATTACATATTAGTCTTAGTTATGTTATAAATTGACGTTAGATAGTATCGTGTTAAGAGCTACAAATTATTATGTTACATGTTGATCATAATATAAATTGGATGATAGATATTATCGTGTTACGAGTTAGAAATTATTATATTACATGTTAGTCTTGGTTATGTTGTAAATTGACGTTAGATAGTATCGTGTTAGGAGTTACAATTTATTATGTTACATGTTGATTATAATATAAATTGGATGTTAGATATTATCGTGATCGTGTTAGGAGTTACAAACTATATAAATTGGACGTTAGATAATATCATGTTATAAGTTACAAATTATTATGTTACATGCTAGAATTAATTATCTTAATTTAATATGTTCTAAAAATATAAATATTGTACTATATAGCAGGAGTCATGAGAAGATTTTGGAGGAGATGGTATTGATTACGGTCTGCGTTTCGATACCTGTACATTATATAATACTGCTCAGGAGGCTATTGAAGCTGCAAAACACCAGGCAATGCTGAATGGTTTCCTATTAATAATTTCGAGCCACAAAAAAAAAACGGTCAGACTTTTAAAGTGTCATAGAGGCGAACGGTACAGAGGCACAAGCGGAAATTCTAGAAAGACAAAAACGCGTAGTGCGGCTGCATTTTTTAGATCAAAGTAAAAAAAGTGTCCGGTGCTCCATACTGGAGGATCTGTAGATGTAACAATGAAGAGAAAGGCTACCATAACCATGCATTTGTTGTGTATCCTGAGGGTCATCGCCAGTTGAGCGGCCTCAGCGCTTCATCTAAGAAAATTGTTCGTGATATGACGGACGCTCAGGTGGCTCCGGCAAAAATTATGGCCGCGCTGAAAGAAAAGAATTCGGGAGACAACGTTAATGTGCGACAGGTATATATATTTATATCTTGTAATATATGTTTTAATTAACTTTTTGAAGTTAATTATGATAATTAGTAATTTTTTATATGTAAAAGTTATTGTAATAATTAATAAATTTTATTATATTTACTAATGTATTATTATTGTGATAGTTAATAATTTTTTTATCAAATTAATCGCATTAATATACTTTTTTATTTATTAATATAATAATTTTTTTGTTTTAAATTATAATAATCATTATAATTAACGCTAATCGGTGACAGGTATATAACTTTAGAGATAAGCTGCGGAGAGAGAGTTCCGACGGTAGAGACGTTCCTTCACAGCTTATGTATTTGGCCGTGAGCAGCGAGTATACAGTTTATGCAGAATCCGATCCGAACACGAAAGCGTTGACGCATATATTCATGGCCCATCCTGTGTCGATCAATCTATTCCGGACATATCACTGGTATGTCGACATAGATTCCACGTATAAAACCAACAGGTATGTTACTTTATAAATATTTTATTAGTATGAATCTAAAATAGTGTGTTTGTTTGATTTTAAGTAAACTTTTATTTGATTATATTTTTTGTCTTCTTGGTCTCATTTGCACAGGTACAAGATGCCGTTGGTCGAGATGATTGAGATGACGTCGTGCAACCAGAACTTCCTAAATGCGTATGCGCTCATCAGGGACGAGAAAGAGGCCAGTTACGACTGAGTTTTAGAGAAGTTGAGACTACTGATAGGCCAAGGCGTATATCCTTATGTTGTTGTCAGTAACAGAGAGTTGGGTTTACTCACTCCTATTCAGAGGCATTTTCCTGAATCAGCCCACTTACTCTGCACGTGGCACATCAACAAGGATGTGGAAGGCAGAGCCTACAAACTATTTGAGAAGAGTAAAAAATTCTCGGAGATTTTCACGCACAATACGTGGAAGGCGATTGCAGAGGCCAATACGTTCGATGCCTACACCGATGCCGTTGCCGAGTTGCACGCAAAATATTCGAAGTCTCCAGAGGTGATACGGTATGTGGAGGGCACATGGTTAGGGCACCGCGAGAAGTTTGTGAAGCCTTTGACCAACTGAGTGACACATTTTGGAAACACAACTTCCTGTAGGGTGGAGAGTGCCCACTCTATGTTGAAGGAGTGGCTTCAGACGTACACCGGAGCGCTCGATACAGTTTGGCAGAAGATTAATAAGCACATCGATAATCAAGTGACTGAAATCAAGTACGTACTGCAATTTTTAAATGCGTTATTATATTACTGCATTAATTAATTATAATCTAACGTTATGTAACGTATTATCAGGACGTCGCTTGAGGCCTCGAGATCTAAGAAGAATACACGGTATAAGGGAATCCTTTTCGCGAGCGTGATACTGAAGGTCTCGCATTACTGTCTGAGTTTATTGGACGCTGAGCTTACGAGGATGCACGGCTTGGGCACCGCTGTTTACACTAGCTGCGGCTGTGTATTGCAGCTCACTCATGGACTTCCTTGTGTCTGTCTGCTCCGTAACGCAGTTGATTTCGACATTCCGATTGATCTCGGAATGATTCACCAGTTCTGGAGAACGCTCGAGATATTAGAACCAGGTAATTTAAGATTAATGTTTTATTTATAATTTTATATTAAAATACATTATTTGGTTAAATTCATTGACTTTTGTTTGTCTCATTTTTGTTGCATTTTTCGTGTTTATTTTATCTTTCTTTTTCCCCATTTTAGGTCGTTTCTTTAGTTTTTAATCCGTTTCGTGTTTTATTATGTGTTTTCCTTCATCTTGAGTCCTTAGGTGTTTTTCGTTTGTTTTTCCGGTTTTCTTTTGTGTTTTATTGTTTTTTGTGTGTAGGTCAGGAGCTTTGGGTGAATTTTCTCTTCAGGAAAAGTTGGTTTTGAGAGCAAAACTGGATATATGGGTTCGTTGGTGACGCATGGCAAAAAACGGAACTCAATTCCGAGTTCGGACGAGCCCAAACGAGCTCGAAACGTAAAGCAGCGCGCAGCTGCCCAGTTTCCTTCACCGCGGTCGCGGAGAGGAGAAGTCGCGGCCGCGAGGGTCCCAAAACATCCCAAAA